GATCACAGATAGGATCAACTTTCAGATCAGCCAAAGACACAGCGATTGTCCTGCTTCGGGTTCTTCATGCACCTACACAACTGCTCCATTGCAACTCAGCATCAAGATTTCAAACATCCCTCCCTGCAGTGGAGTTCAGCTGTCTTCTGTCACATTTGTTTTCTGTTGGTTGGTCTGAAAGCAGAATTACACAAAACTACCAGGTGCTGATTCAAATCACTTCTATTTAAAGTTGTGGGATTAGCAGCGGCACAGAGCTGCTCTCTCCAAATGCCCTTCTGGTTACTTTAAAGAATAACAGTGGCAGCAAATCTGTATTTTGCTTTATGACGGTTAAGCTTTGCAAATCATCTCCGTTTCACATGTCTGACAAAATGTGGACGAGGATCCGTGTACTTCAAACGCCCGAGTGTGGCCAGAATCTGGGAGGATATTTTGCTGGATTGGGGACGAGAGCAGATGGATCAGAGTCTTAGCAAAGCAATAAAAGCTGTGCTGCAACGCATCCACTGGCATTTCACTAAATTCCACCATTATCACAAGATGTTGTGGCTCCACCGACGGTGTTGCCGTCACTGTGTCGAACAGGTTGCGTTACTGTAGCTACACGACCGCAGGATGTCTCGCTGTAAACTGAAGCAGTCGATGACAAGCTTCAGTCTTCAACAGTCCTGCATTCTTTCACTTGTGTATTAAAGTAGAGCAGCTCCTGATCACAAAATAGGTCCAAAGCATGTCTGCAGATGGATATTACTACAGCGACAGCATAGTGATCAATATCATCCAATCTGACATGTAAACTGTGTTCCTGATGGATGTAAGCATCTATCCCGACCGTCGTAACGGGCAGGACTGAAATCGATCCCCTTCTGATCACAATTAAAGAGGAACATGCTCCTTGAGTTTCAGTTAGATGCTAACAACTGCATCACGCTGCTTCTTGGCATCAGCGAAAGAGGCTGGATGGAGGGATGCTGGCGCTGGAGGAGGGAGGGAAGGAACGAGGGCCATTGAAGTGAAGGGACGAGGGTGTTTTTGTTCGGCTTGGCAGGTTGGGTTGAGCGATGCTGCAGGCTGGCGTGCCCATATGTCACCACTGCTTCCTCGGGCCCAGCTGTGAGGAGCAAGGGAATATGGTGGGACGGCGTGTGTGTGCGCAAGAAAGTGAAATACAGACAAGTGAGGGAGTGTGTAAGTGTGTGTGTGTGTGTGAGCGTAAGAAATAGAGTGTGTAATGTGCGAAAACTGCAATCCATTATTTCTTAACAGGGCGGCAATCAAACACTGCTGGCTGTCTGACGGTGGGTAGAACACTAAAGCACAAACACGAGAACCTGCAGCAACAACAACCTGGCCATGCATCTGCACAAACACAGAGNGTGTGTGTGTGTGTGTGTGTGTGTGTGTGTGTGTGTGTGTGTGTGAGTCGCCGGCGTTTGCACAAAAACTACTATTTGGTGCTGATGTGTGTCCATCAAAGCAAGGGCACATAAAAATTTAATGCAGACAGCGCTCCACATCAAGCAACTAATATTCGCCGCTACCGCTGTACGGCCGCATCGCATCGGACAGACGAACACACACGAGACGCAATAATCCAGTTAGACGAGCCGAGCAGAAGACGCTTCACATCACAGCATCAGGATTCTGTTTATGAGTCTCTTTATCCAACTTAATCAGGTACAAGCATCATAAATCAGCAGCCGACGCAATTACTCTCCGCTCGGCTACTTGTGCAACCAAAGTGCACAAAACTCGGTGGTGATGCAGCGCCGTCTCACGGCTGACATGCTGCCTGTTGTGATGAAATTACAGAACAACCTCCTCGATGAAAAATATATTAAGAAGCATCCATTCTTCATGAGTCCAGTGAGAGATGCACAGAGCATGTACGGTGTGTAAACCGGCTGAGCTGCTGCTAGTCGGGGCAATGAGAGGTTTCACCGAATATCAGGAGTCTAGTCTCGGTAGTGCCGGTCCAATACGCCGACCCTGATGGTACCACTGGATGGATTACGGGGAAATCTGCACCAAACATTAATTTCTACAAAGAAAAAGAATCGGAGCAGATTTACGCTGAGCTCCAATAACAGGTCAAACACTTTGAATTAGGATAACTTTAAACGAATTCCCATCATCCTCCACTCTGCTGACGATAAAGCTAGCGTAGCATGCTGTGGTGTGAAATGTTAGCTAGCATGCTGTGACAACGCCATCAACATCAACAGGCCTTTTCCACAGCAGACATTTTGACTTCTCATAGCAGGAAACAGGCCACGATGATCGCCGTGCTCCGTGTAAGCTGTGTTTCTGCTACTTTGCATGCTGGCTTTGCTGAAATAGCTTCCTGGATCTGGAACTCAGCCATTGTTAATGTTATTAATTAAAGTCAAAATGTCTGCTGTGCTATTACCTCTGACAGCTACAGAGGATGTGACAACGTGCACAAAGTTACGCTGCCAGTTTCAGCTTTAAAGGCACAATGTCTGCTCCAATGAACAAAAGAGCACA